AGTAATAGGAGCCCCTCAGTTCTACATGAAGGGTGAAGACATTGGGGGAGCTGTTTATGTTTACATCAACAATGCAGGAGTTTGGGAAGGAAACACTCCTGTCCGTCTAATAGGGACCAAAGACTCAATGTTTGGAGTGGCAGTAGAGAACATCGGTGACATCAATCAAGACTCATATAAAGGTGATTAAGCTGACCTTTTGCGCTGTGTTTGTATTGTCTTTGTCATTTGCAGTCACATAAATTGTGTTTTTTCCTCATACAGACATTGCGATTGGAGCTCCGCAGGAAGATTCTGGGACAGGAAAAGTCTACATTTATCACGGCTCTGCACAGGGAATCAAAACGACCCCTGCACAGGTGGATATTTGTTTAGAAAATTATATTACATCAGTGTTTTGTTACAGTCTGAATGCTTTCATGAAGTCTGGTTTATGCTGTTGCAGAACCATGTTGCTAGTGATAAACCTCTAAAGCTAGCTGCCAAAGTTCAAAATGACTTTTTTTTTCACCAGCATTTTCCTGATGAACCTAGTAACTGCTCCAAATGAATAAAAGTGTTTCTCCATAACTGCTGGACTTAAGAAACATCGGTTTGGTACAGTTTAAAAAAAAGAAGAAGAAAAATACACGGCTACCCCTAATAGTGAGCCTTAACAGTCTTGGAAAAACAGGATTTTGCATCTGAAACTTTTTTCAGACTTGGGATCAAGAGATAGAAAGCCTGTGCTACAGCATTTTCTCATTATTAATATTTCTTCTTGCTCTTAAACTCAGACATACTAAGGTAAAGTAAAATCTTCAGCTAGTTTGGCTGCTAATTTAAAAAACCTCATTGGGACAACTTTGTCTTTACTGTGTTTTTTTCCTCGCTTAATTTCAGTTCTTTAAGTTTCCATCTTTATTTTCCAGATCCTTTCAGGGAAAGACCACAACATTCGATTTTTCGGCTATTCTCTGGCAGGAAACATGGACCTGGATGGTAACTCTTATCCAGACTTGGCTATAGGCTCTCTGTCAGATTCAGCTATGATTTACAGGTAACTGTGGCCTTAACCGTTAGTTTAAATTTAGTTAAAGTCCTACTGACCTCAATGACAGTTTTATTTAACCATCTTTCTTTTAGAACAAGGCCAGTCATTAGCCTCAACAGTGTTGTCAAAGTGTCTCCAAATGAAATAAGTCTTACAAATAAGACGTGTGGGGACCGTGTTTGGTAGGTGTTCTTATATTCTTATATTCAAACAGACTTCAGAGTGAAAACTTTCTTTTTCCTAACAATATCTGTTTTCTGTCCATAGTTTCACTGTGATGGCTTGCTTTTCCTACAAAGCTAATCCTGCATCTTATAATCCAAAGCTTAGTACGTAAAAATTTATTACATTATTTTTCCATTTACAAATGTTTTTTTTTCTAACACACATATGTGCATTTTACTTCAACACTGCAGCTGTTAGCTACACTGTGGAGGTGGACAGAGCTCACAGGAGAGGACTGACTTCCAGAGCGATGTTCTTAAACGACTCCAGCTCTGAACTAGAATACCAGTTCAATGGCACCTTAAAACTCAAAGAGCAAAATCAGCAAAAGTGTATCAAACTAATAGCCAGACTTAAGGTAAATCAAGTGTCACACAGCTACATCACTGAGAAAAAGCTAGGAGCCTCTCTCAGCTTTAACCTCTTAAGCCCCAACGCCCCCTGATATGGGGGCAAAAAGCAGGAGATCAGGTAGGCTTGGGGCTTAAGAGGTTAAACTGGAGAAATGATTAAAAAAATGAAGACATGTACGTTGACGATAGTAATAACAATTTCTTGGAGATGTCAGTATTCGAAAAATGACCGTGCATGAACATATGTAGTGCTAACTTTGAGGTCATTTATAATAAATGAATAGTGAAATTATATAAATCAAAACTGTAATAATATATATTAAAACAGAGACAGTAACAGTAAATCATATTAATAAATGCATTAAATGCCTTTTTTTTGTGATTCACGAAGGATAACATCAAGGACAAGATGCGTAGCATTCCCGTTGAGGTGTCGGCAGATATAAGTACAAAACAAGAGGAATCAATTAATGGCCTCCCTCGCATGATTCCCATTTTAGACGCCACTCAACCAAGCAAAATCATTTCTGAGGTAAAGACAACTTCTAAATGTAAACACTAAAACTCATTGTGTCGAGTTTGTTATGTAACATTTGTATATTTGTCGTCATTTCCTGTTGTTTCAGGTGAACTTTCTAAAAGAAGGCTGTGGAAGCGATCATATTTGCAAAAGTAACCTAAAGATGAATTACAGTTTACACTACAAAGAAGCCAACAAAGAGGAGTACCCCGCGTTAAATAAGAGGTTAAAACTCATTCTCAGACTGTAGTAATATAAAGTAGCCTTGATTGAGTTTTGTAATGGGACCAGTTGGACTTTAAAACCCACCCTGCTTTTTCATGCTTTGGCCTTTTGGATGACACACATCAGAGTGAATGGTTAGGTCTCACTGGGCCACCAACCCTACCTAATTTGAAATCACAGCCAAAGACGAGCTCAGACATGCTGATTGCACAACATACACAGTTTGCTACACGATTGTTATCACTGAAGAAGCATGTTTTCTTTGTTTTGGTTTTTTTCATCACTGGTTATGACTGTGTGTCTGCAGCAAGAACGGCATCCCAGAGTTTATTGTGAAATCCCAGAGGAAGGACTTGGCTGTGTTGGTGACAGTAAGCAACATGAATGGTGATGATGCTTATGAGGCAAAGCTGGTGGGGACCTTCCCAAATACCATGTCATATTCTGGAGTCCGAACCGATCAAACAACAGTAAGTCGACTGTAAAATTACTTTGTTGTATTGTAAGAAAGTTACAAAATTTAAAGTCCTTTACCTGCAATTGATTCAAGCCTTAAAAGCATTAATCAAAATACTAAGAAATGACTTCCACTGTGGCTTAAAATACCTGGAACTTGGTGCATTTCCGCTGTTTAATATGCAGGAGGTATGAATACACAGTATGGATATGGATGATGATGATGAGAGAGGTGGGACTGGCAAGAGGAAAATTCAGTATTCAGATAATTAAATACAAATCCCTGACTGATTGAATCCATGACAGTGACTGCTTGTTCCACTCTTCTGGCATATAAAAAAACAACGTAATGGGACTGTTACGGGTTTAAAAGCTTGGCCTTCTTTGTGCATGTTCTTTAGCGTTTGTAATAGTTTGCATGCTAGCAGCTAAGCTCAAGTACAGTTCTACATCATCAACAAGAGAGTCGCCCCCTGTTGGCCCTTTGGAAAATTGCAGGTTTAAGGGGCTTTACCTTTTCTAAAGCCTAGTGGCTACGTCCATTTTTTATATACAGCTTATGACCACGTCATAAAGTAAATACTTGGATATATTACACATGTTGTCCGACGTGTTCTTTTCTAGATGGAAAACCTGATCACCTGTGATGCAAATGTAAACAGCTCTCAAGCAGAATGTGAGCTGGGAAATCCTTTTAAGAGAAACTCAAAGGTACAGAAATGTCACGCTCCTGTGCTAATGCTTTCTAAGACACTTGGCTGTTGTAATTCATATGTAAGAAATGCTACTACTTTTTCACAAGGTTACCTTTAAAGTCATCCTGAGTGCTGCACATCTGACTTTAGACACCACTGAGATTGAGATCAATCTGCAGCTGAATACGTAAGTAAAGATGCTGAGATTCGCTTTCTGTTATGTGCTGCACACTTTCAAACTGGGATGTGTTATTGTTATTAATATTACTATCCTTTTCATTTAGGACCAGCTACCAAGAAGCAATCCATGTAAAAGTAAAGTGTAAAGTGATCATTGAATGGCTTTTGTCTGTCTCTGGGTAAGTTTGTTCTCGCAGAGATTCCTTGACTTGTTTGACTTCACCTTTATACCTATACAGGACCTCCAACCTTCTCGCTTGTTGTCATCAGGGAAGCTAATCCTACCCAGGTGTTTTTTGGAGGTGTTGTGAGAGGAGAAAGTGCAATGAAGTCAGAAGAAGAAATTGGAAGTTCGATTAACTTTACTTTCACAGTAAGTTTATACATTTCACCTATTTTTTATATTAATATTGTTTTCATAAAACTTTCTGGCCACTTTATTAGGTATACCTGTTTGTTAATGCAAATATATAATTAGGTAATTACATGCGAGTATTGTTGCTGACCACGTCCATACCTTCATGATCACAGTGAAACCTCTCAAACTGGTTTCTTGAACATGACAATGAGGTGATTGTACTCAAATGGCCTCCAAAGTCACCAGAACTCAGGCCAATAGAGCATCATTGGGATGTGGTGAAACGGGGGATTCAGATATCAGATATCATGTCAATATGGACCAAAATCTCAGTGTTGAATATTTTCAGCACCTTGTTCAAGCTATAATATGTAGATTTAAGACAGTTCAGGTTAAGGGAGATTCAACCCAGCGCTAGCAACGTGTACCTAATAAAGTGGCTGGTGCGTGCAATGTTTATGTGAAATTGCAGAGTTGTTTCCTGTTAATTTCTCCTCCAGATAAACAACTCGTGGAAGCACTTGAAACCTTCTTTTGAAACCTCACTAAACATTTTTTGGCCCAAAATTCAAAAAAATGGGAAATGGCTTCTGTACCTGATGAGCATCACTTCTGAAGGACCAGAGAAAATCCTTTGCTCCCCTAAAACTGAGATCAACCCTCTGAATATTGCTCAGGTAGCATATTTAAGCGTTCAGCTTCACGTGTTACAGCTGAAATTAGACCATTGATGAATGGGGCCATTATGACACGCCTGCCCTGTTTGATTCTGTGTTGAATTAACGTGAGGAGATGTTCTTTCAGCGGTCCTCTGTGTCTCGAACAAAACGAGAAATTATGAAAGAAGAAAGAAAAACTGGTGGAAAAACGTCTTCACTGAAGGACAAGAAGAGAGTTTTTGTAAGTGATATAAATGGACATGCACAGTTTAATAAAAGTGTTTATATGATGTTTGACTGTGTATTTGCTTTCTAGTCCTGTGAAGATGGGATGGAAAAATGTGTGGTGTTCAAGTGCCCCCTGCAGGGGCTCGATGGTACAGTAGTCGTATTGAGATCCCGTCTGTGGAACTCAACCTTTATTGAGGTAATAAACAGCATATTTTTTGTGTTCACATGTCTCTTCATGTGAGATAAATCAAATCTCATGATTTTGCTTCATTAATAATTGTTGTTTTTTGCACACAGGAGTATGCCCCTAGTTCAACTTTGTCAGTAAAAGCCACACTTGAATTTGATACTCAGAGGGAAAACGTCATACTGACCAATCAAAACACGAATGTAAGCAATTCAAGCTGCATAACGACATTAACCTTATTGCTGTGTTGGTCCCAACTCAGTCTCTCGGTTTTCCTCCCTTTTATGTTTTTTTTCCCAGGTGAACGTGAACGTGTCTCCTGACGATGAAGCAGCTAAGCATCAGGGAGGAGTTCCCTGGTGGATCATCCTGGTGGCAGTTCTCATAGGACTCTTGATTTTGATTCTACTGGTTTATCTGCTGTGGAAGGTGAGAACATGGATGTCACACCTACAGTTACACAATGGACATGGATATGAGAAAAGAACATGAATTTAGAGAACCCCTCGTGAAAATTAGCCAATTAGAAAAGGTAAATGAAGCCTGAAAATAAAGCTAAAGATACTTAAAAATAACATTTTCACCTTTTTTGCTAG